TCTACGACGCCGTTTTGTTGAGGAGTCCTTGGTGCCGAAAAATTATGAGAAATTCCATGTTCTTCGCAAAATTCTTCAAAGTCTGAATTTTGAAATTCTCCACCGTGGTCGCTTCTTATGGAGGCTATAGTGAGTGACTTCTCGTTTTGAATTTGTTTTGCATACTTTTTGAATGCTTTGAAAGCATCATTTTTCTGCACTAAAAACATTGTCCAGGTATATCGAGAGAAATCATCAACAATAACTAAAGCGTAAATACTACCTCCGAAGCTTTTTGTTCTTGATGGACCAAAAAGATCCATGTGCAACAATTAAAGTGGTCTTGATGTAGAAACCACTTGCTTGGATTTGAAAGTTGTCTTGGTCTGTTTTCCCTTTTGACATGCATCGTATAATTTATCCTTGATGAATTTTATCTTCGGAAGCCCAACAACCAGATCATGTTTGATTAATTTGTTTAGATGCTCCATGTGAATGTGAGCAAATCTCTTATGCCAAAGCCATGCCTCGTTGTTGTTCGCCATAAGACACTTTACCTTCAAGGAAGAGTCATCAAAAGAGATCATAAAAATATTATTATATCTTTTACCTTTTAGCAGAATCTCATGAGTGACTTCGTGTTCGATCAAGCATTCCTCTTTTGTGAAGTTGATTTTGAACCCTTTGTCACACAATTGACTGATGCTAAGCAGGTTATGCTTAAGGCCTTCAACAAAAAGAACGTCTTCGATGATTGTACATGGAGGTGCACCAATGGTTCCAACTCCAAGAATCTTTCCTTTATTATCATCACCGTAAGTGACGTATCCTTTGGCCTTTAATGATAGACTTGAAAATTTGTTTATATCTCCCGTCATATGCTTCGAGCAGCCACTATCAAGATACCATTGATTTGTGGTTGTCTTCAAGCATACCTACAAAACAAAATTAGGTAGTGTTAGGTACCCAAGTTGCTTTGGGTCCTTGATAGTTAGTACCTTTTTCCACCCACACATAATGCCCCTTTGCAACACCAATATTACGTACATAGCAGGCATTAGGTGTGTGCCCTTTAATACCACAATAAAAACATGTAGGTTGAAAATGACTTCTATATCTAGGAATATAATTCTTTTTCTTATTAATTCTTTTCTTGTTATGATTTTGATGCTGAGTTTTAGAAGTGCTTGTCTCTTCCTTCACAATTTGTTCACTTGCTCTTACAAAAATGGTCTTATTGGTGCTTGGTTTTGAAAATTTAGAATATCCCAATCCACTTTTATCATTAGGATACCTTTGATGTTTAAGAATCTCTTCCAAGCCAATTTTACCTTTTTCGTATCTTTCTAAAACTCTTTTAAGTTGAACAATTTGAAAAGACAAAGACTCACAATTCTTACATACAAGACTTTGTTTTTCATCCATCACTTTTTGTTTTTCATCTTCAATATTTTTCAAGAAATCAGAATTTTGTTTTTCTAAAAGTAAAATTCTTTTCTTTTGTGATGAGATGTCTTTATACAAAGTCTTGCACTCTTTTAGAAGTTCATCTATAACTTCTTGTGCATCATTATCATAGACAGAAAAATTACTACTAACCTCATTTTCGTCATCGGAATGGTGAGAGGCCATTAAGGCAATATTTGCACATTCATCGCTATCTGATTCCGATGATGAACTCACTTCGTTGTCGTCCCATGCGACATAAGCCTTCTTTGTTTTGAAATCCTTCTTGCCCTTGAATTTTCCTTTATTTGCGAGTTTTGGGCAGTCTGGCTTTATGTGACCTTGTTTTCCGCATTCATAACATGTAATTTCTTGGTTTGATGTGGATGCCTCCTTTTTCCTGAAATGTCTATTCTTTTTAGAAAAAGAAGAAGTTTTATTATTATTGAAAAACTTACCAAGCTTCTTCACTAGAAGCATGCAATTTTCGTCTTCGGAAGATTCGTCAATTTTGTCATCCTTTGTGTCAGTCTTCAAGGCAATTCCTTTGGACTTCTTGTCTTGACTTTCATGTTTCTCAAGCCTTCCAAGTTCCAGTTCATGCTCTTGAAGTTTCCCGAATAATGAAGCGGATGTCATTGTTGAAAGACTTTTCTTTTCCGAAATGGCGGTCACCTTTGGTTTCCATTCTCTTGTCAAGGATCTTAGGACTTTTAAGTTGAGATCATCGTTGGTGAAGGTCTTCCCAAGAGCAATCAGGTGATTTGTTAGATGAACGAACCTCTTTTGCAAGGCAACAATAGATTCACCGGGCTGCATACGGAACATCTCATATTCTTGACTTAACGTGTTAAGTCTTGATCTTTTTACTTCTGTTGTTCCTTCATGCGTTTCTACCAAGGTATCCCAAATCTGTTTTGCCGATTTACACTGTGATATGCGAAAGAATTCATCCATACTGAGAGCGCTTTGAAGTATGTTGATTGCTTTCTTCTCATTCAAGATTCTCTTCTTGTCATCTTCATCATATGAGGATTTGATCTTTGGGGTTCCAACATCATTTACCACACTTGTAGGAACATGTGGACCAGTTTCAACAGTTTCCCATATACCATCTCCTTGAGCCTCAAGATGTGCCTTCATACGGATTTTCCAAAAATCAAAGTATTCTCCAGAAAAGAGTGGTGGTTTGTTACTACTTCCACCATCTTTGAAAACCGGGTTGGTACTTGCGGAAGCCATACTGAATCGTTAGGAACAGGTTACCTTAACCTGCTCTGATGCCAATTGTAAGAACAGAGTATGCCTAAGAGGGGGGGTGAATTAGGACTTTTGAAATTTTTCCGGTTTTTATATGGTTCTTGGAAAATATACTGGATGGTGTTCTTGGTTATGGAAAGCAGTAAATCAACAGAAAGAAAGAAAGACACAGGATTTATAGTGGTTCCCCTCACAATCCGAGAGTACTCCACTCCCCTTTCAACATGAAAGAGAATTTTCACTATTGTTTAAAACAGTACAACCTATCACACCATCAATTGGTGAGGCCTACTATCAAACAATAAAACTCACAAGTGTACAAGAACAATCCTCTTGTAAACACTCACCCTTGTGTCCAACAATCCTGGATCACAAGTCAAAAATAAAATAATTGTAATGAATTTGGATTGAGTATAACTGTCAAAGTGATCTTCTCCAATGAATCAAAATTCACTCTTTGTAATTTTTCAATACAAGTGTTCAATGAATATGAAATTTTCAATGCAAGTATGAACACTTTTGAAAAATGAATTTGATTCCAAGACAATTTTTAAAATGAGTATTGGAGGTTGAAAAGTTTTTGAGTTATGTTCTATTGGTTGTTTCTCAAAAATGAAAAACTCAGAATTTATATGAGTAAAATAACCTTTCAGAAAAGGTATGATTTTAAAAGATTCAAACCATGAAAAGGTATGTTTTTAAAATAATTTTTGAACTCAAAACAAAGAAATTTTTCACTGCACGTTCAGTGTTAATCGGTTAACCCATATGGTTAATCGGCTAACACTGGTACGTTAGCCCAGAAAATTCAAAATTCAAATTGGTTAACCGGTTAACCCATATGGTTAATCGGTTAACACTGCTAATTTTCAGAAAAATGCTTTTAAAAATGATTGTTATACCAATTTTAAAGATTCAAAAACATGCTCATGTATTATGCTAAAATGCTTGATGTTTTTGAACACTTGTATATCAATTATAAGGGTAGAATTTGATATACCCGCAATAAGTCCAAGTCTTGAAGAATCATAATTCCAAATGTAGCTTGACTTGAAAGATAACTTGACTTGATCTTGATAACTTTGAAAGGCTTGTCTTTTTGTAATCAAGAGATGACCTTGAGTAGTGTTGACATCATCAAAACTTGAGACTGAAGCATGCTTCTACAAATTCTTCACAGCATTAAAATCACCACCAATACACCACTTTCCCCTCCCAACTCAGATTCCTTCTCCAAAAGTTTGCTCCAACATTTTCATTAAAGAACAATAGAATAAGATGAGTAAACTTTAAGGAAAAAGAATATCTTGTTCGAACAAAACGCACACAGACCAACAAAACCTTCACCTTGAAAACTGAATAAAGGAGAGATCACACCAAACTCTAAATAATCAGCATACCTCCTGATTGGCCTACTGAGTCTTTGGTTATCCATTCAATCTCTTTGTCGCCCCAGATGCTTTGTGTCATAACATCATTCATCTTCTTTAACTTTGTCTCCTGTAAAAAACATACGTTTGTTTTTCCTCTGCGCAGTAACTGCTGAATCCTTCTCCTTTTCAATGGATTACCACATCCTCTAACATTGAAAGATACAATAATCATTGGATACTTTTGATTTTACTCACCCTCTTTTTCTTCTCCATGTTATTTCTCTGCTCCATGGATTTTATTTGACCTTTGTAAACTTCATCTTCCTCCTCCCCTTCAATGCCAATTTCTTTGATCTCTAACCACCTACCCACCCTAAAGTCATCATCATGAGCTAAAATCCTACGATTTCCCTGCCTCAAATCGGAATCCATTATTTCGTTGCAACAAAGGATGGACCCGCCCGGAAAAAACCACATTACTACCATTAGAAGAAGAAGGAAACAACTTGGTCGCCACTAGCAAAGATAATGTTATGGGATGAACCATAGATTTCTCATGAGAAACTAAAACTAGGAAAGACAAAGAACTTGATTTAGAACCTTTTCTATTCATTTTAGTGAAATCACCCCTCTTGATCATTTCCTTAAATCTACCATTGGGCCTCTGCACATGGCCCACCCCCAATGTTAATTTGTTTTTATTTAAGCCGGACTTACCTTGGGCCTTAAAGCCACCCTTTATCCTTCTAATTTTATCCACCAACAAGTGGGTTTGACTCGTCTCTAGACCAACCAATTAACCAGGTGGGAACAAAAACTTTTCTACATCCTCAGATTCCTCCAAGGAGGAACATCTGTTCCCCCTGACGTCTGTCCCCTATCCTTGGACCAAGTAGAAGCTACCTCTTTGATAACACCCAAGTGAAAAGAAAGAGAAGACCCTTAACTATTGGTATCTAGCATGACGTCAGAGACATCCTTCGTATCAACAAAAAAACCTCCCACCTTGGTAACATCATCCACTTTTGAAAAGTCACCCATTAACCTATTATCCAATGTACCCCCTACTACCTCAAGGTGCACGATATCTTCTTCGTCGACTTCCACCATAACCACTAGAATATCAACTTCACCAGAACAATGAACTTCCATCAAATCAACCTCCTCATTCCCTGCTACTTCAATATTTTTCTCACTCACTAATCTCAAAGGTCCAACATTGTCCTCTATAATCTTAATATGAAACTCCTCCCCGTTGATTGAAAACCTCATCACCTCATTAACCACCAAAGCATAACTGGATCTTACCATGACCCTTGCTACGTCAAATTTTGAATGCCTCATAGTTTCATCATCGTAACACACGTAAACACCAAAGGGCTTGCATAAGAATTCGAAGAAACTCATATTCCATGCAAAACAAGGGACCCCGAAGCATCTCAACCAAGTGACCCTCTCCCTGTCCACCTCATTATCTTTCTAGGGCCTCATATCTTTGACCCATTGTTTCAACCAACTGTCTCCATCTTTTGATAAGGCTTGCATTTCTCCTCCGTCCAATTCTTCAAGTAAACAAGATTTGGCCCCTAAAGGAGTTGCTTTCAAAGAAAAATATCCTTCCAAATTGAAGGATTATTGCATACTATACGTTGTTCCCGGATTCCACACCTCGCCAATAAAATCTTTCTTGAAACATTTTAGTACTCCCTCTCCCACCTCGAAGGACCTAACCTTAGTGGAAGCTGAGGAAACTCTAAGAGAGTCGTCCTCCCTAAGTTGCACCGCATGTGCATAAGAAAGATTCTTGTTGGCCCCTGTGAGAAAACCTTCCTTCTGCTGCCCGCTCTACAGTATTAAGTAAGCCATTATCCTATTATTCACCTTCTTCTCTTTAGTCAAAGAAGGATCCACTACCTTTCCACGTTTATCCCACGATCTCTGAAATCTGGGAATATTAGTAAACAACTTCTTTTTGTCAAAGAAAATATAACTTTGTTGGCAAAACCCTAGCTTCCTCCACATTGCTAAATCTTGCAAATCCATATCTCTTATCTCTCTTGTCCCTTTTATTTGGAATGAAGACCTCATCAATCTCTCTAAACTCCTTAAAGGTCTCGAACAAGTCTTTTGCCTTATGACTCTCCGGAAACTCAATGATGAAAACTGAAAAAATAGACGTGGACAGACTTTCCCCCTCCCTAAGTTTAGAATTTCCCACCTCTTTCCTCTAATCAAACCCCTTCTTGCAAAAACAACCGACTTTAGAACCATTCTCGTTCACTTTTGTACTTGTCTCCATTCTCCCTCTATTCCAATTATGTTGCCATACTAAATCTCACTCTTTAGATCGTAAGAATTAACTGCAATAAGTTTTGTTAGATAAGGAACGTCTATAAGACTAATCATGACTCACATAAATAAACTTAATAATTACTGCATATTTAAAATCTCAGATATAATTACATTCTACATTTTTTTAATTCTAACTGAATCAAATTTACGTCATAGAGATTACTTATAGAATTTGTTGTTTCAACCCACTCATCCAAAATTACAAAACAATTTTAATTTAATAAATTATTTAGAAAAGTCTTAAATTTATAAAACATCTCTCACAAATGTAAGGGAAAACAACAAGTTTTACATTTTCTTATAGTCACGGTAATATTTGACAAACTTTATCACGTAAATAAAGTATTAAAAATAAACAAATAAAACATCCAATAAACATGATTAAAAAAATTATCGTGGCATAAAACATAAACATTAATATACTTAATTATTATGTTCATGTTATAAATTTTGTATTGAATTTTAAATAAAATATTTATGTACAAAAAATTAAATAAAAATGAACTTATGTTACGTGGATTGACATATATATTGAATAATTTTTTAGTAAAAATAAAATCTAGAATGAGTTATTTTTAAAATAAAGGAAATGACTATATATTTCGATAAATAACTCTTAAAATCTTTACTTTTTAAAATTCAATTAAAAAACATTATTTTATGTACTATTCAATATGTGTGTGTGTGTGTGTGTGTGTGTGTGTGTGTGTGTGTGTGTGTGTGTGTGTGTGTGTGTGTGTGTGTGTGTGTGTGTGTGTGTGTGTGTGTGTGTGTGTGTGTGTGTGTGTGTGTGTGTGTGTGTGTGTGTGTGTGTGTGTGTGTGTGTGTGTGTGTGTGTGTGTGTGTGTGTGTGTGTGTGTGTGTGTGTGTGTGTGTGTGTGTGTGTGTGTGTGTGTGTGTGTGTGTGTGTGTGTGTGTGTGTGTGTGTGTGTGTGTGTGTGTGTGTGTGTGTGTGTGTGTGTGTGTGTGTGTGTGTGTGTGTGTGTGTGTGTGTGTGTGTGTGTGTGTGTGTGTGTGTGTGTGTGTGTGTGTGTGTGTGTGTGTGTGTGTGTGTGTGTGTGTGTGTGTGTGTGTGTGTGTGCGTGCGCGTGCGTGCGTGCGTGAGAGAGAGAGAAAGATATCTTTATTAAATTTAATTGTAAAAAATGTACAAAGACATCAGATTATAGGGATGTGAGTTCTAGAAGTTCTACTTATTCATTTTCAAATGGATGAAATTCAAATCACTAAATAACTTGATAAAAAAACTTAATTGTATATAATACGTTAATCAATTTTGATTTTTAAAAAATCAAATTGCAAGATACGACAACAATATTTAAATATTAAGATGAAATTCAACATTTTTAATTTAAATCAATAATAAAATCACTAAAGTAGAATTTATCCGCATTCATCCGGATATTGAACAATCTTGCTTAGATAAATATTCCTTGTACGCCATGAGAGACGTTATCACGAGGTTTGTTCAAAGCCTCGACAACTTTTTTTAGTGACTCCTCACATTCCTGACAGTTTTTGCTTCCACTTAATGCCTGTGGAGAAACAAATTTCCTATGACAAATGACGCAAGAAAAAGCTTTTTGACATCCCTTAGTTGGATCAATAATGAATCCAAAAAGAAGGAAGGGAGAAAACTCCTTGGATGAACTTGTTGATTCATCGATTCTAGGACTCTTTGAATTCTTTGTTTCAGCATTGATATCACCTTCCAGCGCGATCGCCTTTCGCTTGTTCTGATTCTCCATAATTTGCGAGTCGGTTAGTGATTCTTCATTCACTTTCTTTTTCCCCTTGTGTGAATCTTGATTAGTGTTGCTCATGGTTGAAGGAGAAAACGAAATGCTATGTATTTGGTGATGAGGTTTTGAGAGATGATTAAAATGTGAAAATTCTTGTGTATTTAAAGACGTTCATTACGAGGATTTAGTTGGTAGGTAAATAAAGTAATATATAATGAATCTATTGGTCTTATATTTTTATTACTTTTTTCTTTATTTTTATATACATATTTAATTCTAATAAATAAATTTAGATTATGGTAAACAAGTTTAATTTTTTTTATTAAACAAAACAGAATTAATAGAGGATAAGGAAACTCCAGCCCATTACGGAAAATCAAAAAAAAAAAAAAGTACATGTTACAAATAGGTAAGAGATAAGTATTGATCGTGGAAATTCTAAATTTTGAATTTATAATATAATTTATATATAATCTAATAATTGAAATCTATAGATTGTAGAAATTTTAGATTTAAACTCAAATCTTAAATTGTGTAATTCAAATATTCATCTATACGTGTAAATTTCAATTAATTTGTAGAGTTTAATAGATATGCAGTGATAATGTAATATAATTTTATATTTTATATTATCGTTTAATAAAAAATCAACAATTTATCATGACATCAAATAAATTTAAATTTACACGTGATTTTGTAGAATACACGCCAGTTAATTGTTAGTGTAAAAATATTTTATACAACAGTGAATATTCTATTTCCTATAGTTTTTGTAATTGTCTTCTTAATATTATATATATATATATATATATATATATATATATATATATATATATATATATATATATATATATATATATATATATATATATATATATATATATATATATATATATATATATATATATATATATATATATATATATATATATATATATATATATATATATATATATATATATATATATATATATATATATATATATATATATATATATATATATATATATATATATATATATATATATTTAGCATTATTTTGTAAAAAGTAAAATATATTTTATTGAGTAAGTATTTTTACGCATAGTCTTATTTTTTTTCAATTTAATTTAATAATTAATCTATAAAAACATACTCAATATCAAAATTAAAATTATTATCATAGTTTACTGCGGAAACTAATTAACAATAAACATGCATGTAAAATAGTCTTAAGATGTACGATGTGCTAATGTATCAGAGGTTAATGAAATGAATGTGTGGATAGATCTAAATCAAAAGGTTTGTAGGTAATGATGGTGGTAATCTTAAAGCTCACGCAAAGAAAGAGACACAAATGACGAGCATTTGTTTGCTTGTGGTTCTTTGTCCACCTAACTAGTCTTCTTATGTTTTAGGTCTCTTCATCTAGGGAGAAGATATAATATGCAACTTGTTTGGTATATTGCAGACCGTAGCTTATATATAGTGTATTGGAGATGAACTTTGGAGTTCATCATACTACTGTAAGGTGTGCAGAAGCCATAAACAGAAAGGTAGAAGAAGAAGTTTAAAATGATGAATGAATCTCATTCCATTGTTATTACAAGCAGTGATAAGAATATATATCAGCAGAGTTAATGAAGAGGGTTAAGACTAACACCTAACCATCAAACTAACAACTTGTAACCGTAACAATTAACACCCAAACTATTTATCTCTAATACTCGCTCAAACTGAAGGACGATGATCTTCATACATAACCTTGACTTTGCCTCGTAACTCTTAAAAAGTTGTTATACGCAGAGGCTTTCTGAGCGTGTATGTTATCTGGGCAATAGCTGAAAAATACTGAATTGACGTTCTACCAACAACTACTCATTCTCTCACAAAATGAATATCTAATTCAATGTGTTTAGTGCGGGCATGAAGAACCAGATTATGAGATAACAAAACAACACTAAAGTTGTCACATAAGAGTTTTGTTCTGCGAAAAGGATCTTTGAGTTCAGACAGTAATGAATCTAACCAGAGTAATTCAGAAGTGGAATGAGCAAGGGCTCGATATTCTGCTTCAGTCTTCGAGCGAGCCACCATTGATTATTTCTTAGAACTCCAAGATACCAGATTTGGGCCAAAAAAATATACACAAGTCAGAGGTTGATCTTCTATCATTTGGGTCACTAGGTCAGACTAAGTCGTTGTAAGCTCGAAGGAAGAACTTGGGAGCTGAGATGGAGGGAGATAGTAGGAGACCTTATTTAATTGTACCGCTTAGATACCTCAATAACATTCTAACAGATAAACTAATGAGTTTCGAAAGGACACGCCATGAAATGACATGCTTTATTGATACTAAATGCAATGTCTGACCGTGTTAAAGTAACATACTGTAGAACAACCATTATTGACTTGTACAACTTGAGATCAAAGAAGTTGTTGGTACCATGTTTGCTGAGTTTACATGTGTTCAACATAGGATTTAGAACTCCATTAGCATTGTCCATCTCGACCCTTACTAGCAAATCTTTAATATATTTGGACTGATTTAGAAGTAAGGATCCATTGCAACAAAACTTTACTTCAATACCTAGAAAATAACTATGTCGACTCAACTTCTTTAGAGAAAATGCAGTGTGTAATTTGTTTATTAAGTCATGAATGAGAGTAGAGCTAGAACCAGTAATGAGTATGTCATATACATAAACAAGAGCATACAGGAAAGTACCTTATTTGTAATAGACAAAGACAGAGTTATCACACTTAGAAGTAGTGAACCCAAAGTGGAGCAGAGCTTGATATAATTTCTCATACCAGAACTTTAGGGCTTGTTTGATACCATATATAGCTTTGTTGAGATTTCATACAAGAGTTTTACCAGTACTTACAAATTCACAAGGTTGTTTCATATATATTGTCGCGGTAAGAATCGGAGACCATCACTATTGGGTAAGCTAGGCTTCACAAATCTTAAGATATCACCACCAATCTTTAATTTATCCAAGGGAATGGGTAAAGAAAGAATAACCCATAAGTATGCAATGCAAAAAAAAGTAATAAAGAGAATCTAAGGTTCGGGGGTTGGTTATACTAAGGGAAGGTATTAGCACCCTAAGTATTTATAGTACTCTATAAGAACCTTTCGTTGAATTTTTGTTATAAGTTTGTTTGCTGATTTGGATTGATTGGGGAGATGAGAAAAGAAATGTTTTTTATTGTTTTTGTGTTTGGCAAGACACAAAGTCTTGTGCCTACTGCTGCTACTCGAAAATGCAACGACGGAAAGGCGAAAACGGAAAGACAGAAGAGTCGCCATCGAACTTTATTTATCCCATGAGGGGAAGGGAAAACATCGAGAAAAACCTAAGAAAGAAACGGATAAGATGGTCTCGCAACCAAGAGAAAAGGTTCGGAAGCCGGTTATGTGAAGAGAAGGTATTAGCACCCCTCGCATCCATCGTACTCAATGGGAACCATTTATTTGTCTATGTGTGAAGGTATTTTCTAAAAGATATTGCTATATAAGTGTGTTCTAAGGGAGAGAGAAAAGGTTGGAAACAAGGAAAAGAGAGATAAAGGGGAAGAAAAGACTCGGTAGGACTTCGCGGTCCTATGCCTATGTATTCTCAACGGGTATGAGAAAGTCAGAGTCAACATAGTTTAGGGAACTACGAATAAATACGGGAAAGTGTGCTCGGCAAGGATTGGGTTTCTTGTGCCTACATATCTTTACATAAAAGAAGTAAAGAGTCAGAGCAGCCGTAGTTTGGCCTACGGTTAACTGGTGTTTTTGTGGATGATGCTAACGTGCGCATTCTAGCAGTTAGGTGTATTGCAGCTCGCTTATGGAGTCTTAGGCATTACCTGTTTGCAGTAAAGCCGACGTAACATATCCTTTTGAAAAGATAGTTTTTGCCATCAAGGCAAGACGTCACATTTGGTTTGTGGAAGTTGTTTTTAAGAGTGAAATAGGTCCTTGGATAGTAACCCCTTGCGGGTAGTACCCAATTCTTTATCTCAAAAGATTTATTGTGAAATGGTGTGGCGAACATAGTCACGTCTTCATATTGAAAGACGAGTATCTATACCGCACACTCTACAGTGAGTATCCTGACACTCAGAGAAGAAGAAGTCTGCACTTAATCCTCTCTCTTTAGTTCAATAAAAAGAGAAATTCATTCTCTTATTAAAGATGTTTTAATCTTGAATGGTAAGTCCTTTACGACATTGAACCCTAAAGGTAATGTCAAGCACTCGGGATAGGATAAGGCCTACGCCTAACCACTCCACAACCATCCAAGTTTATTATGAAAAGAGTTTGAAAATGCACATGGTACGAGACCAAGGTTTTAGGAGAAAAGTTGTAAAAGAGAACAGGTGGTGAATTGGTTTGACAGTTTGTTGAGAAAATCCGCTTGACGTTAGATCAAGGGTTTGACTTGTATCTGCATGCAAAAATGTGGTGGAATGGAAGTGGGTTTAAAACTGGCTCGACGACGAGTCGAGGGTTTTGATTGAAATGAAACCGGCTTGATGACGAATCAAGGGTTAAAGTGTGAGAAACAATACTAGTCCCTGGGGGTTCTCCTAATATCGAGTCCATAATAAAGTGTGATAGTATGCGCAATAGGTTGATGGAGAATGTGGACGAGCACTCGACTTGCAGAGGGGTGTTTGAAAATGGATCGATGATGAATCGATAATTAGTTTGAAAATGGTTTAATCTACGCTAACCCCTGGGGGTGCTCCTAGAAGATAAACCACAATCAAAGAAAATACGTAATCGTACATCGAAAATGGGAGAGAGGTACATGCAAATTACACGGGATTGCACGAAATAAAAGGTCTCATTGTCAGGTAGCCCAAGAGAAATTCGGGTGTGTGCAATGTGTCCTAAAATAAGCCTTGAGCAAAAGTTGAACAAAACTCCAAGCTAGGGTTTCTGACAAAGTCCAAAGATCCGTCACTTGGACAAATAACCAACAGTCCCCCAATTTAGGATTTTATGGTTTCGATAATTATTATGTGTTTTGAAAGAATGTACAAATGAATATGAATAATATACAGGAATATTCACAATAATATATCAAGGTAAATGTCAA